ACACTATGCCAAATTCTCAAGTTTGGAAGCGGGTCAAAGGAATCAACAAGCCTCACTTCAAAATCTTCAAGCCCAACTAAGCTCATTGGTGCAAAATCTTTCGTCAAGACCACAAGGAACTTTACCGGGCAATATGGAGCCTAACTGTAAGGAGCGATGTCATGTTGTAACTCTAAGGAGTGAACGACCTTTGAAGGAGATTCCTATCTCAACACCGAGGATACTAGTAAGAGAAGTTCAACGTGAAGTTGTTCAAGAAGAAGAGTTAGTTCGGGAAGAAGTGCAACCCACTATCGAAATCAAGATTGAAGATGAGGAGAAGTCTAAGAAGATTTAAGCACCCGATCCAACACCAAAAGCTCATTATCCTAGACGGTTATTCTAAAGTGATCTATATCATGAATGTGCTCCGTGGAAGGACACTTTGAAGAAATTGAAGGTAACGGTCCCTTTCTTAGACATGGTTATGAAGATTCCAAAATATACTAAGTTCTTGAAAGAAATATTGCAAGGAAAGAGGAAAATGGAAAACCTTGCTATGGTATCCATTAGTGAAGTTACCTCGGCATCCATCGGATGTGAAGGCTTCCCTCCAAATTTAGAGATTTGAGAATCTTCACTATTCCACGCACCTTCGGAGTCAAAACCTTTTGGAATCCGCTAGCTGATTTGGGGTCTAGTATCAATATTATGCCTACAAGAATATAAAGTGAGTTAGACCTTGGACCACCCATACTTATTAAAATGCATATTGAATTGGCTAGTAGGTCAGTTGTCGAGCAAAGAGGAATCATAGAAAATGTCTTGGTGAAATATGCTCATTTTTTATATCCAGTGGACTTCGTGGTTCTCGATATAGAAGGGTGTGATGCATCGATAATCCTAGGCCGATCATTCTTAGCTACGGCAAGGACCATTATCGATTTGAGTGGGAGCAAGATCACCTTAAGGTTTGGAGAGGAGGAGATAAGCTACAAGATGACTACAATCCCCAATTTTCACAATTATTACAAATGGGACGATGTCAAGATGGATTGTGAACTGGTGACACCTCCTACCACACCGCCTTCAAGCCCCAAGATAGTATGGTTCAATATGGTTTCTCATGTTGACCCTCATGATAGAAGAGTTGGAGGTGTGAGTGATTCTTGCGAGATTAAGAAGAGGTCGGGTAAAGAAAAGTTTCCTTACAAAAGGCTACTCAAGAGTTGTTCAAAGTTTCTCATCAAGCCAATGATCATTGAAGGAAACTTAGAACATTCGTCTTTGAAGAAAGATACCCCAAGGAAAGCGTTCAAAATGTTAAGAGCAAACTAGCTCCTATATTCGAAGATGAAGAATCCGGGGAATGCTATAAGCCATTCACAATTGAGGACATTTATACAAGGGAGTTTAGTTCTTTCAATCATGAGCACCAATCTTCGGATATGTCGTTTGAATCTCAAGCACCGGATGAGGCATCCAAGAGACTCCATTGTCTTCACTTGGGACTCCACCACAAGTATGATTTCTACGAAGAATCATCAATGGGAGCTCTTACCTCTTGGCCTCAAGGAGTCAAGTCCGCTATTGGAGTTAGATTTGATCCTTTTGTATTGAATACAGTCCCCCTCAAGGGGGAAGCTACCGCTTCTAGAATGCAAGCTTATCCTTGACTTTTTTTAGAGCTTCCCGCTATTAAAGAGTACCAGCGCTAGCGCCCTTCTCTATCTCCATCAATGGCAGATAAAAGTGGTACACTCAAGTCGGAGCCCACTTATCTATAGAATTTATCTTTCAAGGGTCAGTCTAATTTTGGGGAGGTTTGAATTTTGGAGATTGAAAGGTCAAGGTCTTATGCATATAGAGAAGGCGGGACAGGTGAAGCGGCCTACCCATTGCTGCTTTGTTCTGATTGTGGGTCGGGCCAAGACCCACACCGTTCTAGGGCGGGCCGAGTTCTACCTGTCCCAACACTGGCTGGGTCAATAGAATCCCGTCGGGCGAGTCCAGTCTACCATCACTACTTCCAACTAACGGCGAACCTTAATCTAGTTTAATACTAACTTACTAAGTGGTTTTAAGTTGGATGCGACTCCCAAGACTGATGAGTAAGCATTTGAAATTAATTATTTAAGTAATTAAGTAATCTCCAGAAGGTGAATTTTATCGATGAGGTTAACATTTTTTAAGGGTTAATGATTATTTATTGCTTCAATACAAAAGAAAGCACCGATCGTGTGGAGTTGGATATGGCTAAGGCCTACGATCGTGTGGAGTGGGAATTTCTGGAAGGAGTTATGAAGAAGCTGGGTTTTGATGATAAATGGATTGAGCTCACCATGAAGTGCGTCTCAACTGTTACCTACTCTATTCTGGTGAATGGACATAAGGCAGAGCCCTTCTCCCCATCCCGTGGCTTGAGACAAGGGGATCCTCTGTCTCCCTATCTCTTTTTGCTATGTGCTGAAGGACTATCTACTCTGATCAAGAAAGCTGAATCTGAAGGTAAACTTAAGGGTGTACAAATCAGGAAAAAGGCCCCTATCATCTCACACCTTCTATTCGCGGACGATTGCGTGATCTTTGGAAAGGCAAATCTTAAGGAGTGTGATCAAATCAGGGAAATTCTGAATACTTACTCTATGGAATCAGGGCAGCTCATAAACTTCACAAAATCTGAACTTTCCTTCAGTAAAAACGTTCGAATCAGTAGAAGACTGGAGATTTGTGGCACTTTGGGTATCAAGGAGGTTGAGAAGCATCATAAATACCTCGGCCTTCCTACTGTGGTGGGAAGATCAAAGAAAATCATATTCGAGGAAATCAAAGAAAGGGTAAGGAAAAAATTAAAAGATTGGAAGAGCAGGACCCTATCTCAGGCAGGAAAGGAGGTGTTGATTAAGGCTATTGCCCAAGCTCAATGCCTTTACCCTATGTCAGTGTTTAAAATTCCAGAGGGTACTATCAAGGAGATCCAAAATCTTATCGCAAGTTTCTGGTGGGGGCAGAAGGGAAAAGAATAAAAAATTCAGTGGATCGATTGGGATGAAATGTGTGACAGAAAACAGGATGGTGGGATGGGTTTCAGAGACCTAAGGTCTTTCAATTACGCGATGCTTGGAAAACAGGTCTGGAACGTTCTCACAAGACCAAACTCTCTTATGGCCAAAGTTCTTAAGGCACGTTATTTTCCAAAAACGGACATTCTACAAGCAAAGACAGGTTATCAGCCTAGCTTTATTTGGAAGAGTATTATGGAAGCTAAAGAGAAAATCGTTGAAGGCTTCAGGTGGAGAGTTGGAGATGGAAGCATGATCAGTATATGGACGGACGAATGGATCCCAGGTAAAGGTTTTTTCCATGCTGACCCCGCCCCCTCAGGAGATATGCCAGAAGGAAAAGTCAGTTCCCTCATTGACCCTGCTACGGGTACTTGGAAAGAAGAAAATTTGAGGAAGCTGTTTTCTCGGGAGGATCAGAATCTTATTGCTAAGATCCCTCTCCGTTTCCCTCTTGGAGTGGACTCGAGAGTTTGGAAAGACTCTGAAAATGGAGCCTATACAGTAAAATCAGCATATCACTACATTCAGAAACAGCAAGCTCACTACCAGATGCGGAATCACAATATTAACACTGAAGAGATGGAGTTGTGGAAGGCCCTATGGATGCTTCATATCCAACCTAAGGTTCGCATTTTCCTCTGGAAGGCTTGTAAAAACATCTTACCGGTGGGTTCTCATATTGAGGAATGGATTGAAAGTGCTGAGCCAAACTGCCCGTTCTGCAACCTCCCGGAAACTCAGATGCATGCTCTTCTTGAATGTGACTGGATCAGAAGACGCTGGCGTGGCTGCGAAGTGGAGGATATGTTTGAGAAGGGAGAAGGTAAATCTTGCTTCGAATGGATTAAGGAGATTCTCACAACTTTTCCAGAAGAAAAAATCCAAAGTTTCAGCTCAATCCTGTGGTACCTTTGGAAGGAGAGATGCAATCATAAGTATAATAATCGGAAGCTGGATGAGGATGAGATAGTTCCGCGAGCTTTGGCCTGGCTTTCTTCTTTCCGGACGGCGACTGCTACCCCAGATCCGAGCTCCTTTGCCTCCCCCCCTCGGCATCATACTTCCCCTCTTCGACGCTGGGTTCCTCCTCCCGAGGGTTTCATCAAACTGAACTCTGATGCTGGCGTTATTCAGAATCGGGGAGTTGGCTTGGGTTGCATTTTCCGGGAAGGGCGTGGCGATTTTGTGGGTGCTTTGGCCAAAAGGGAACAGGGAGCTCTCCGGCCGACTGAAGCGGAAGCGAAGGCCTTGATATTGGGATTGAGAGAAGCAAATCGAAGATCTCTGGGTCCTCTCATGGTGGAATCCGATTGTCAGGTTCTAATCAATCTCTTGAAGAATGGATCAGTGGATTTCACGGAGTTGGGTGTTTGGAGTGATGAACTGAGAACGCTCGCAAAGGTGAACGAAGCTTTGGTCGGGGAAAGGGTGAGGTGGAGATTTGTTCCGAGAGAGTGCAACTCAGTGGCCCACTGGTTGGCTCATTCGGTTTTGGGGTGGAATCAACAGATTGTTTGGGTGGACTCTCCCCCTGTTTTGCTCTGTTCTTTGTTAGAGGCCGATTTGGGCCATGGCTCCTTGGGCCAAACTGTTACCCATTAATATAATTTCTCAGGTTTCCTATAAAAAAAAAAGATATAATCATAATAATAAAAATACAAAAGAAATGTCATTATCATTTAACATTTTACGATAGAATCATAATAATAAAAATATAGTAATTCACTAATTTGTCCTTATCGTCTCCAATGGAGGAGAGGAGAGATGGTGGTGGGCCCGAGAGAGAGGACAGATAGGCTCAGAATTTTGATGAGTCACTGAGCCGACGCCAACGACGAGCCAGGTCATAGAGAACCTAATCCACTGAGTCACCGACAGCTGGAATCTACTTTCCTCGCACGTGTCGGCCCCCAAATCGGAAAAAGAGAAAACCCTAATCTCGCCCACCAGTCATCACTTCTTTACCCCGCGATTGGACACCGCCCCACCACATCATCGCCTTCATCATCATCCTCAATCCCCCTCTCCCCGTTTGTTTTTTTCTGTTAATTTCCCCCATTTTCGCCGCGAAACCCAACAGTCCGCCAGCTCTTCTTCTTCTTCAGTGGGTTCGGTTCTTGGCGGCGAGTAGGAGAAGAAAGGCCGGAGATTGGACTCCGATTCGCAATTGGGTAGCTGGGTGTTTGGTGGCTTCGTGTTTGTTTGGGTGCATATTCTTGCGGGCTCTTTTTTTTTTTTTTTCCGGGTGTGTGGTGTGGGTTTAGCCTTTTGATTCTGAGCCGTTGATCCTTTGGGAGGGGAAGTATCAAAAGAGAAGAGGGCTTTTGTTTTGTTTTTACTCTTTGGTGGGTGTCTTAAAGTATCCAACTTGGACTTCCACCTCACTCTCTCTTTCTCTGGCACGCCATGAAAGCAGGTCGGATCCCCTCTCTCTCTCTCCCTCTCTGCCTGCTGATTATTATTTGCTCTTGCTTCTCACCGTGTTTTGCATGTTTGTCTTCTTGGCTTATGCTTGCTCGTTTCCGATTGATTTGGTTTACTCGTTTGGGATCTACGATTATTAGACATTTAGACTTAATGTCATGGGCGATTGGGGAAGTCTGACTTGTTGTTGTCCTCTCCTTTCATTTCAAATTTTTTTGGTCTTTTGGACTTTCCTCTTTTGGGTTTGAGTTGGATTGGGCAGCTACAGTCTAGCTATGACCAATCAAGCAAAGTTCAGGTGCCTAGATATATGAATTTTGTTCATGGACCGAGTTTGTTCATTCCGCTAGTTAACTTTAGGAATCTGGGAATTAAAGTGTAGCTCTGTTTTTAGTTTTTACCAGTCGGTCTCTTAAGTTCTTATGGAAGGGCCTAGGAATCGTCCATGTCATGGATTTGGACTGTGGTCTCTTAAGTTCTTATGGAAGGGCATATAGGGAGTGGCTGTTAGAGTAGATTGCTATTTTCTGGCTGCAATTAATGGATGTTACCTATATATAGGGCGGTAAAATCCCAGATATCGGCCGGGTTCTTGTTCTTGTTTGATTCACAAGACAATCAACGTCTTATTTGTTCACGGCTCTTATGTGGACACTTGTCTTCTATTTGTGTGGGAATGTGACGAAATGTGCTTCGATTAGTTTCAAACGATTCGGGAAAAACAGTTTTAGCTTATGTTTAGATTCTCGGCCGGAAGAATGCCAGGTAGCATTGTGAGTTATGATGATTGATTACCTTGGATATGCCCAACGATCAAAAAGGAAGGGAAAATTGTCTACTTTCGTACGGTCTAAGGATATGGAATGGAAGGAAGGAATAGTGAATGATTTTGGTTGTTGGTGGAACTTAGAATGGAAGCTGTCAAATTGGAGATAGTGCAAATCTTTCCCATCTTCTCTGGAGGCCCTTCAACTAATAATCAGTCTGCTTAGCTGTCAGTCAGCCTTCTGCTTTGGTGTGGGAGCATGCCCTTCAATCCCTCTCGCGTCTGAATAAGAATCAGAGGATATTATGCTGAATTGTATGGTACATGACTTGATTTTTTCAAAGCCATATGTTTAGTTGTTAGAGATGTTGGGCTAAGTCTCGGTGAATGTTGTTTATTTGCTGGAAACCTACTATGTTCAAGTGAATGGTGTTCATTGTTTGAACCTACCGAGCTAGTTGAGTGAAGGATTTGATTCTCTCTTTTTAGGTCTTATGTTAAATCTTCACATGGATCTATTGTGCGACTACTACCTTTACTAGATATCCTTCTTTTTTCTTATGGAAGGTTCCTACAAATTAAGTTTAACTGATGACAATTTTGAATCATTACTTTTCCGATCTGGGATTTTGCTGAATCCACAGGCTGCTTTTTATGAGTCAATTAAAGTCTGGTAAAAATAACATAAGTGATTGTGATAAGGCACGATGGTTTAAGGGTGCTTCATGGAGATCCATGCTGGTTTTGTGTTGGCTGTGATTTTGACAAGATGAGACACATGAGTTTTGCCTACTTTTTCGTGAGCTGTTGAATGTTGCAACTTTCAACACTGATTAGCAGTAGATAACATATGTTACATGGAAACTGAGATAACATGTCCGTAAAAATAATCGGGAGTTTTTCACTGAAAGGATGTGATATCTGATTTGCATGGTTACATGGAATGCTATTTACAGGGGATTTCTAGATATTATTGCAATAATCCAGGTCAAGGTCAAGGTCATCTATCCATAAGGATTGAAGCTTGCGTACCACTTCACTTAATCAAATGGGAACAGGTGAAGAGAGCGGACCTGCTAAACCATCTAAACCGGCAGCTACTTCTACTCAGGTAATTTCATACTGTTGTCCATCCATATTTATCCACTTTAATACTTATTGCTCCCAAAATTCACTATCTGCATTTCCTTTGCAGGAAGTTCAATCAACACCCGCATATCCAGAGTGGCCAGGTTCTATGCAGGTTAGTCTTTAGCATCTTAGTTCTCGTGTCCACCCACCATTTCTTTTGTCAATTGTTTTTCTGGTCATATTCAGGTTTGTTACGGTGCTGGGCAGTTAATTTTAAATGCTGACAGTTATTACTATGTTCAGGTTTATTATGGTGCTGGAGCCACTCCACCTTTTTTCCCATCAACTGTTGCTTCTCCCCACCCCTATGTATACCAGGTGAGTTAGATGCTTGCGTCAATAAGTTTCATGTTTGCCTCCTTTTCTTATTTAACTGACGTACTATCTTACTATTGTTTCTGTTTGAAATTTTTAGCATCCATTTGTACCACATTATGGCACCCCAGTTCCATATCCAGCTCTATATCCTGCAGGGGGTGTGTATCCTCACCCTAATATGGCCATGGTAATACCAGTATGCTTTATGCTCATATTTTCTCTTTGTCCCTGTCCTCCGTATTTTCCTATTCAGTGTAGGTGAACTGAATCATGTTACTATTGTTCCTTTAGAAGCTGAAATTAGTTTGATTGGTTGACTCATGTTCTGTAGGCACCGAACACAGTAGCACCAAGCGCGGAGACGGAAGGAAAGGGAGCTAATGGAAAGGATCAGGCCTCTGCAAAGAAGGCAAAGGTAACACCAGTAAGCAAAGTTGCAGAGAGTGGAAAAGCAGCTTCAGGTTCAGGGGACGGTGGCTCCCAAAGGTCACCCCTGAATTACTTTTTAACTCAATTCATGGAATTTTAGTCATGTATCTCTTCCATCACCTGTGGCTGATAGAAACAGTACTTATTAACACAGTGGAGACAGTGGCAGCGAGGGCTCATCAGATGGTAGCGATGACCAGCAGGTCTTAAGTCATGAGAATTGCTACTCTTTCTGTAATCACGAAATCAGTCTGTGACTGTTTTTCCAAGATCCTCTTATAACAAATGATTGTCTTACTATTTTTATCAGGAATATACAGCAAGTAAGAAGGGAAGCAGCTTCAATCAGATGCTGGCAGATGGTATATTTTCCATCTTTACACTTGATGGTTATCATTTTGTGTGCTGGAATGTGTCATCACTTTTTATTTTTCTCAATAGCCACTGCACAAAACAACAATGGTGCACCAAACCCCCATGGTGCTGTGCCTGTTGCATCTGTTCCAGCAACCAATCTAAATATTGGGATGGACTTATGGAACGCCTCTCCTGCTGGTGCTGCCTTGGGAACTGCAAAAATGAGGTCGAATCCCCCTGGTGGTTCATCGTCAATGCCTGAGCAATGGCTTCAGGTACTTTAATCCTCCTGTACTTGATCATCTCTATTCTCTCATTATCTTGGGCATGCCAAGCAGCATTATAATCCTTAGAAATGCTTTAGGCGGAAACTTGATGCTTAGTCAGGTTGTTCACCACACCAATCTATTTCTGTGCTCTTAAAATATCAAGTATTGTTCTTCTCAGGATGAGCGAGAAATTAAAAGGCAGAAGAGAAAGCAATCTAACAGGGAGTCGGCTAGAAGATCAAGATTACGCAAGCAGGTAAAGTTTTCATTCAGTCTCTTGAAGATCATTAGGTTAGATGTCCCCTTGCGTGTAGCCCATATTGAAGAGATAGTTCCTCATTACTTCTCCGATTCACGTAATGAATGCTTCTTGGTTTACCCATCAACTAGGTTATGTCAATCTCAGTAACAGTTGAAACAAATTTCGACCTTTTTTGGCAGGCTGAATGTGAAGAGCTACAACATAGGGTACAAAACCTGACCAATGACAATCACGCTCTTAAAAATGAGTTACTGAGGCTTTCTGAGGAGTGCGAGAAACTGAAATCTGAGAATGATTCCATCAAGGTTCTGTATCCCTGATCTGCTCTCCTAGTAGTAGTCTCCATGGTGTTTTATTATCTGTCCACCATGCTGCTAACTGACTCCTGATTTCTTTTCCCACTTGTTCCAGAAAAAATTGAAGGACTCGTACGGGCAAGAAGCAGAAGATCAGCTTGAGCAAAACAACCTGACCTCGCGAGGTGATGAAGGGAATAGTTGAGAGATGACATTAGGAGGCTACTTCTGATAGATATATAGAGCTGCCCTACCCAGTTGGTCTACTCGCAGTTACGAAGTATTGACCACCTTATTGAGCCATAGGACAATGATTCTCTTCACTGATCTATACCCTATTTACCCTTAACCCTTTTTAGTTGTAACAGTGTTTTCAACAAATTTTTTTTAACACCCCCTTTATAAGGACTGTAACTGAGCTGGAATCCGTGCTCATGAGACCTATACGACTGCTTTGTTGTGCCATTATTAGTCAAGCAGGTCGTAACAAGGCCGTGTCTGGGGATATTTGTGTATTGCTACATACAGTAGTCTGGTTAATTTTTCCTCCATTGAACAGAAGGATAGCGATTCTCGAATCAATGTGCGTATATGAACCTTTTTTGTTAAATAGAAAGTCAAATTCATTCCAACAGCTGAAACAAACTTTGTAGCAGAGCTTTAAGATCATAAAATCTCAGAAATGAAGTCAAGAATAATGACCCTCTTGATGTTGCAAACTCAACTTTAACCAAGTGCATCTTCAGCCCACCTCAGGTTGAGCCGTGGGTGATGATTGTGGCACGAAATGAAGTTTAGGATATTGACCGTCGGCTGTAAGCTAGCAAATGATTCTGCAACTCACTCAGAAGATTGAGAGATAAACTGGCAATTTCACCTTATGTTATGAATGGGGACCAACAAGCAATACAAGATGTAAAATGTCATGGCTATTTGCCTAGTTGGTTACAAAGAATGGCCAAGAGAGCACGAGCAACAAGCAATACAAGATGATTCTGCAACTCACTCAGAAGGTTGAGAGATAAACTGGCAACTTTCACCTTATGTTATGAATGGGGACCAACAAGCAATACAAGATGTAAAACGTCATGGCTATTTGCCTAGTTGGCTACAAAGAACGGCCAAGAGAGCACGAGCAAAAATCTAACAATCCAAGCTGAACCCAAATGGAATCAGGTTGAATCTACAAAGCCTTAGCTCGTACAAAACATTTGCCACCACCAGCTTGAAGTGGCAAATGTTTCTAAATAGAAACACTGAGAATGATATCAAAAGTCGAGACTATATATCTTCCACTCTACTGCAACTGAATCCTACTAACTTTTTTACAAGCTCAACACCTAGGCGATAAGAAAGAGGGACGGGGAGGCTTGATCTATGCACAATGTCATTGTCAACTATATTAGCATGATGCGGATATAAATATGGAGGTTTCTATGTGTTCTGACTGAACTCATCATCACCATCACTCCGGTGGCGATGTGCTGTCTCATGGGATTGGGCTACTGTTGCTCCATCTGTTGAGAGACAAGGAAACATCAATACTAGAAGAACTGGGAGCTGCATGTACTGCTGCTACTGCATTAAACAGGTGGAAGTTGGCCTAACCTGTTCCCTTTATCTTAAAAAATACAGACGTGGCGTAGTCAATTTCTGCCTGGTGTGAGCTAATGAGTCTTGCCTGCAGTTTGACAAAACAAGCTGCGCCTGAATTTTGTATCTTCTAAATCTAATGTGTACAAAAGTAAATATATAGTACGTCCGAGTTTCTATATCTCAAACTCGGGGTGAACTCAGATGATTGGACAGATAGAGGTTTGAATATGAAGATATAGCAATTACCACATACCGCTTCCTTATAGGCAGAGTTCATAAGCAGATCTGCTCTAGCTTGGTGCTTTAACAGGAATGGGCGCAAGTGGTTCCGGTAAAGTTGTTCTGCTCCCTGAAAAGGAGAAAAAGAAAATCCCACATCGGCATACGCTATATTATGTCCAAGAGAATACATCAGCAAGCCATTTTATTTTATTATATAAACATAGTGGAATCACATTCATCCAACCTAGTAGTTCATTAACGATGAAAATTTCTGAACTTTTATATCTCTCAAGACTAGATGACCATCTGATTTCGAATGAATAGCTTATGAAGACTATAGGAAGAATAGATTGAGTAGATTACATTGGCTGATGGAAGTTGGAGCCAAACGAGAAATGCAAACTTCATATGATAATACATGGGGACCCTGCACGACACGAAAACGGAAGGATCAATCAGATCAGACATACAACAACGAAAGCTATGATTCTATGAACCTCAATTACTAGAGAATTCAGACCAGTACCAGGAAAGCAACTTGTCCGCAAAAACTTCTGCAAGGCTGAACGATCCGTACGCTGTAATGCAAGCATGAGAAAAGAGTAGTCAAGAGAGATGCCAAAACACAACTCGTGAGGAACATCCGTAAACCCCCGAGATTTGAATTTCAAAGCAGCAAACCAAAACGGTCAAGGAAATATTTACCGAGACAACCTACTGCAACAAACAACGGAAAGAAGATAAAACAAAGCTAACCTGTCCAGTATATCAGCCACTTCCTTTGCTGGGTTTCATCATTCGCTTCAAGAGCTTGGTATGTAGAGTAAACCGGCAAAACAATCCCAACAGAGCAACTGCAGAAATCACCAAGGCGCCTCCAGCAAGTTAATACTTCATTAACAAATATATAGAAAGATAGATTCTTTAGCGTAGAATTAAAGAACACAAGTAATCAACATCAGGGATTTCAGATAGAGAGCCCACAGCTGAAACTCACCATGCAGCTCGCGTTACAATGTTGGAACCAATTGGGGAAAGCAGCAAACGCAAGCCCACCTGCACCACAATCACAGAACACCATTGTCTCATTCTCAAGAGTATGTTTTCCCTCCACTAACCTAGAAGCTAAACGATAGCCTACCAGGAATTGAGCCCTACTAAAAATCGATCGACCTTAGGGATGCCGAATTCATCAAACCCTAACGTGATAACAAAGATGAAGGGGTGGAGAGGGATCGATGAGGGCTACCAACCTCACTCGTTATACTGGGCGCGAGAAGCGCCATTGCTGGTGATCACCGATGAGGTTTCCCGGCTTCAGATAGCAGCTGGCCTCGTAATCAGGCTTTAAGGCGAGCCTTGAATTTTGGATTGGTATTTTTCTGGTTTCTCCTCATTCTCACCCTTTTTGTACGTTCTTCATAGAAATTAAGTTTTTTTTGTTGTTGGTAAAATTCATAGAATTTAAGTTGAGATAGATAACCCTAACTAGTTTCTTTTCCAATTACCCAATCCCCAATGTTTGGCTCTAGACAAATTCTATAAAGTTTTGAGGAATTTATTTATTTAAAAGGGTTTGGGTTAATATTATTTTGTACATATTTACTATTTCAAATTAACAAACGTATTTATCTGCAATGCACTTAAAATAGAGATTTTAAGTAAAATCGAAAAGTGAGGTAAAATTGGAATTGTAGATTAAAATCGTAAAATCGTAAGATTTTAAGGTTCATATTAAAATAAACACTTTACACACCAGATAGCAATAACAATCCATATCATGAATAACATTCAACTACATATGACTTAATTACTTCTCAAGACAAGTTTGTCTGCTAAATAAACACAAATTAATCCATATATTTATTCTTGTACTTAACAAAAACACACAAATAAGCAACATGAAAACTCATAGAAATCACTTATTTGGTAGGTAGTTAAGATTAGAAAATCACATAAGATCGTTAGGATCAACATTAGCATCCGTCACACATAATCATCCTCACCCTTACCGTCAATCTCATCCTCGCAGAATCCTTTTATAAGTTTCTTGAGGAATGATATCATTATTCTTAGAATCACTTTATCACTATCACCTGGAAAAGGTAACTCACTGATTGATGCATTCCCTACTTGATTGATAAAAGTCAGGGAATAGAGGTGTTGAAGGTTTGGTAGATGAACGAAAGGTTGCATTGTAATGGGTAGTGGGCTAATTGCGATGGTGGTGGGAACAAAATACGAGTTAATTGGGAGGGTGGAGGTATCATTGATGGAAGGAGTTGGGTGTCGGCGTGCAAATGAGGAAGAGAACGAAAATCAATAGGGTCTTTTCTCATATTAGGGTTGTGTTGTTGATTATATTGGGCTGGGAGAAGTGAACTTGACCCGGTTCATGGGTAAAATCCAACCTGATTGGCCTGATTTTGCTCCAATTGACATGAATCTTGAAATCGTACAAAATCCTAGAAATTGTTGATTTGAAGGATTTTAGAGTTTTAAATAGGGATTTTATGGGATTTTAATGTTCAAAGACTTTATAGTAAAATCATGATCGTAAGCCATAGGTAAGATCGTAAAATCGTAAGTTTTAGGATTAAAATCGGGATTTTGACTACATTACTCATCTGTTAAATTATTTTTTTCCCAGTAATTCCTCTACTAAAATTTTCACAAACATACCCTTCTAAGATTAAAACATAACGAATATATCATTCCATCTAATTATCTATTAAATCATTGTTTAATGGGTTGAAAATTTACCTAATTGCCCTCATTAACTCCTATAACTCCTAATTTCTATTTTAATTATTTAATATTCCTAAAATCCAATTAATTATAAATTAAACCTACGAAATACCTAGCAACCTTTCCATCTTCCTCTCTGCTCCCCGTGGGTTCGAGTTTTGTTGTCATCCCTAACAGGTGTCGTCCAGGAAGCAGCTTCTCGCTTCTCACGATGGGAGTCTTGGGAGTAGAAAGGGTTGGACTTGGGAGGGAGTCTATAGCTTTTAATTTTATTTAATTAATTGGATTTTTTGGATATAATAAAATAACAATTAGAACAGATATTATGGGTGTTTAGGAGTTAATGAGCGTAATTAGGTAATTTTTCAGTCCATTAAACCGTCATTTAACAGATAATTAGACGGAAGGGTATATTCGTTATATTTTAATATTAGAAGGGTATGTTTTTATAAAAATATAGTAGAGTGGTACGTTTGTTAATTTGCAATAGTAGAGGGGTATAAATAGCTATTAACCCAATAAATTGTTATTTGTTTGGAAGATGGATCTTCAAATGGTTTACTAGTTTATAATAACACCTGATGAAGAACTATTAGAGCCTTTGTTTGATAAAAGATTGGAGGTTATTGTTGGGGATCAACTATGTGCAGCAGTGTCTAATGTTGAGGTCAAAGAGGCTATATTTGACATGGAACCAGGCAAAGCCCCTGGTCAAGATGGGTAGACAGTCAATTTCTTTCAAACCAGTTGGGGTGTGGTGGGGAAGGAAGTTATTGAGGTTGTTCAAGACTTCTTCAATCACAACATACTACCAAAAAGTATCAATGCTACCTTTAACACCTTATGCCCTAGATTTCTCTTGCATCTAGAATGACTGAATTTAAGCCTATAGCATGCATAAATGTAATATACAAGATTATAGTAAAAGTCCTACCTTAAAGGCTACAAGAAGTTCTTCATGTATTGATTAGAAGAAACCAATCAACATCCATAAAGGATCGTAGCATTGTTGGTATCCTAATGGCCCAGGAGATATTTTAAAACTACTTTAGAAAGCAAATTACCCCCAGATGCACAACCAAGGTCGATCTAATGTTTGACACAGTACATTGGGAGTTCTTATCTTCACTATTAAAGAAAGAAGATGAACTTCCCTCCCCAATTCGTAAACTGGATTTGTCTTCATACTGCTAGTTTCAGCATTAATATCCATGGGAGTCTTTTTGGGTTTTTCTCTGCACAGAAAGGGGTCAGACAAGGTGATGACCCACTTTCTCCCTATCTTTTAACAATCTTCATGAAAGTTTTGTCTGCGCTTCTTAATAAAGCAACTCTAGAAAAACAATTTTCCTAATGGCCTCAATGCAAAGCTGTGGGTTTAACTCACCTATGCTTTGCTGATGACTTATTAATATTCAAAGGAGGACTACAGATGCTTTTAAAGGTGTTAGGAAGGTTTTAGATACATTTTACTAGATTTCGGCTTCAATGTAACCCCTTGAAGAGTGAAGTGTTCTTTGTAGGGTTGGATGACAATGAAAAGTGATTGGCACTATCAAAATTTGGATTTAAAGAAGTCCAGCTGCCTGTTAGATACCTAGGCGGCTAGGCCTGTCACTCCACTCTGGTGCTTTATCAGTAGCTCATTGCAATGTGTTGATTAACAAGCTAACTAGCAGGATAAGGACCTCGAGGGCTTCTAAACTTTCTTATCCAAACCTGTTGTAGTTAGTTGCCTCAGTACTATATGCAATTACTCAGTATTGGATGACAAAAAATATGTTCTTACTTTCTCTGACATGAAGAAGGGAATGGGAGAGCTAAGGTCGGCTAGGAGATCATAGCACTTCGTAAGGATGAGGGGGGTTTGAATGAGGAACTTGCACACATGGAACATAGCATGTGCTGCTAGGAAGCTATGGCTGCTCCTAATGTAGGGAAGATCTTTCTGGATTGACTGGATCTCAAGATACAGGTTGAAAGGGAGGGTTGTTCAGGAAATCTCCGAAATGATGGTGGGATCTTGGCTTTAGAGGAAGCTACTAAAGCTAAGCTCATGGTTCCAATTCATATTAATAAGGGAAGAGACAATTATTGTAAGCCGGGAAGGAAAAGTACTACCAAAATTCTCTTTCAAAGTAATTTGGAAATGCATCAGACTTAAGCAAAGCAAAGTGATATGGTACAAATAACTATGGGGAAATATATGATTCCAAGTCATAGATTCATTGCTTGAATGGTACTTAAAAACAGAATCAAGACTAGGATGCAACTAAAGACTTGGAGAGTGATTGACAGTGCTAACTATTTAATGTGTACTGAGTGGAGGAAACAAGGGAACACCTTTTATGTTCCTGCTCCTTTTCAATAGAGATTATGTCTGCAGTATTCCCACAAATTTTCTGGTCAAGAGATTGGCATGGTATGGTAGGGGAATTATGTAGAAAGGTAAGACAGGCTGACATAGTTATAGGTGCTTTATGGTGTTAGGTGCATATCATTACTATGGAGAGAACGAAGCAGTAGAAGCTTCACAAGTGTTTGCAGGAGTAGCTTGGACATCATTATATAGCTGAGCAAGAGGTTCATAGTTATATTGTTGACAACCCTGAGTTTGCCTTAGTCTTTGCAAGATCTGTATATGTTTAGAATTTTACAATTGTTGTAGTTAGTTAGCTTCAATGTTATAGCTAGTGGATTGTAGATAAGGGGTAGAGGATATTGTATGCTTTGCTTTGTTGTGTTTTGTATTGTTGTTGCTGCAGATGGTTTTTGAAGAGCTTGGTGGTTTACCAAGCATGAGAAATAAAATTGAGACAACAATTACCTGGAATTTTTTTTATACAAATATAGGTCGCTCTGCCTTGACCTGCGCCCTATGATAGATGATGACAATGGGGCGGGACAGGTCCCTCAATTCCCACACTTGCCCCGCGCTAAGAGTGGGTCAAGTCGGTATTACCGGCTGAGGGTACAGACGGGGCGATTTGATACATTCTTATAAGTAATTTTAAAAAGAACGACGATATTTAACTCTTTTACAAAAACACGTAGAGAAAACACTTCATAAAGTTTTTTTTATCAAAATCACATCATTTTTTTTTGTTTCCAGAAATGTAGTCTTGACTCGTGCCTAACTACACCCATCGTGAACAAGGCCAAGTGGCACCTTCAACCGGGTGTAGTATAGAGCAAATATTTCAAAATATCAACCCGGATAGTCTATCCATCCTTACATCAATGAACTATATGTTATCTAGCAATCGATTGTTGTTTTAACTACTAAACTAAACAAGCATGCAAGCAAATTGAGATTGAATTCAATTGAGGAAACTGCACTCGGATGTGTTTCCTCCTAGTCTATGTTGACTTGACGTTGTTCCCCCCTAGAATGATTCACACTTAGCATATACCATAAGGAGCTCTAATCTAAGGAGATATTCTCTCGCCTATGTTAATTAGCCCCAAATTGAGAGAAGTGATCAAGGACCTTCAATTTTCATGAATAATGCTCAAATCAATATATAATAAACAAGAAAATCAGTGCATAGGGCACAATCAATTTTCATGAATAATGCTCCAATGATGATACTAGACAATTTTAACGACAAAGAGAAAGGGGTATAAGTGTGTATAAATGGGCTCAAATCAAGTCTTCCATGAGACTATATTTCCCTTTCACCGTTCCTCTTCACACAGTCTTGCACTAATACCAACCTTGTCAAA